CCCAAGTACTCTCAAGCGCTCCCAGCTGTGCGCTTCCTAAGGTGAGTCTGGCACTTTGAGCTGGAAAAAAATGCTTTAGTGGACACAAGACCTTACTCAACTTTCCCGTTTCCCCCTTAGAAATGTGAATCCATTTAGACATGACTGGCAAAGATCAGATGTTTCTGCCACTACCCCTCCAAGGCATAGCAAGACATTTCTAATCAGGAGCCACAGGCTACTATTGATCATCTGAAGACTTATCAGTGTTGGCCACCTAGCCTGGTGTTTAGTGAGAAACAGAAAGCGGGGAAGAGATGAGGCCATGGCGATGGTTGAGCTGTGATGGGCCTCTCCTAACACTTTCCCTGCATGTGACAAATCGGCTCAAGCTCACCCTCACTAACAAGAACAAAGGTAGTGGCTTGTAATGGGAAGTGATAGACCCGTTTGTGGCATCTCTTCACTGGTTCACCCTCGCTTTAATGCTGCAGTATGGAGAAAGATCTGTTGACTCATAACTCAGGCTTTAGTCGCTTCCAATCTGCACAAAAGAACAGCTTGTTGGGCCTTCTGAATACTTAAGTTCTCCAAAAACAGACTGCCAGGCATCTGCTGTGGACACAGCTCTCCATTTCAACTAAATGCATTTTCTGAGATATATTGTTGCAATAAATCCACATCCCCTTACTGTCATGAGTAATGTCTGCCTACTGTTCTTACAAATCCCACTATCAGATAATAAAAGGAAAAGGAAAGAGATAAGGATTGATTTTGTTTTGGCCAAAAGTATGGTGTATTTCATTTGAGCTGCATCCTGGCTACATGTCACATTAAACCCCTTAGGTCTATCTTGTCTAATTAAGAAACCTTCTTCCCCTCTGATCACAACTGTGGTTCTTTGAAGCAACATAATGGGAACTAAATCATTTGCTTAAAAACCCTGTAACAAGATTTTTTTTTTAAAGGGAGAGAGTACCCGTCATATCTCATCACATCCTAGGAAGAATGAGCTGAACTGCATATCATAACTTTCCTAACAAGTGCTTTGAGTAAAAGCTGTAACCTTGAATCAGGCCTCCCTTCCACTTATGAAAGCCTGTAGTGAATGCTTTCAATCCCACCATCCAATTTCCTTTGCATGGTATACATATTGAATGGGTAGACTGCAGAAACTGAATAAGCCCTTCTTTGATCCTGATACAATGCATAGGGTGGGCATCCTTAGGCAGAGTTTTGCTCCCACTCAAACTGTTCAGAGTTCAGTTCAAGTATCTCTCCATTGCTCACATAAGGCATCTTTGTTCCTTAATACTCCTTCTAAAGCTCCTCCTTTTTCATTTGTTTTGCTTCAATAGCAAAGCACAGACCTGCAATTACAGTTGTGTTTGTATTGTTCGAATAAATACTCTCGGCACATTCTCACACATACCATCACGTTTCTTCACTAAACCAAAGCTGTTTTCTCTCTCACTCTCTTTCAGACAATGCTCAAGGACGAATCCTTGCTACTCATACCAAATGTGCTGAAGGTGTTCTTGGAGAATGGACAGATTAAGTCCTTTACATTCGATAGCCGTACCACTGTTAGGGTATGTATTTACTACAGTTTTACTGCAATGTTTTAGCTACAACAAGCAGCTCTTTCTCCACCCTTTGGTGGTGACAGTTTTTGCCCTAGGAGACTGAAATTTGGCATGGAAGTCAGTGTGTGTGTGTGTGTGTGTGTGTGTGTGTGTGTGTGTGTGTGTGTTCATGCCAATTGGCTAAAAGGGGCTGTGGCAGTTAGAGGTGTAGCGAAGCATTGGCTCAATACATCAATTCAATGTTCAAAGAGCCAATATCATCAATGCAAGGTAAAAATGTAGATAAATATTGTCATTCTTGAGACACGCCTTTATTTTGAAATTCCTGTGGCACGTCTGCGTCACCATTTTCATCCAAGCACACCTCCTTCCTAAATATTGAAACGGTGCTAGCACCAGGCAGATAATGGTAAGTAGCCAAGAAAAAGACACTGAGGAAATTTACTGATACTGTCTCATATCGATCACAGGCTCCTGATGGATCCATTGTGATGGAACTTGGGATTTACACCCTAGTGGCAATGGGAATGGCCTATTTTAAAAAGGTGTATAACTTCCAAATGGATTCACTTGCCCAGGATTTGGTGGAAAGATTGGTCATCCCAAGGATGAGATATCGTCTGATAAACTGTTCATGCCAAATGACAAAAAGGTGCAGCATGTGGATGCATGCACCTACGTGGTTGCAGCTATTGCGAATTTAAGCTTGTCACATAAAGCAGCTATAGACCAACCTTTAGTGATGAACTCACAGGTAATTATCACCCAACTTGGCATTTCCCTTCAGGTCAGTGGAGGGTTTTAGTGCCCACTTTGCTGTGTTTGTTCACTCTGTGTTACCGCTCTCATCAGTGGCATTTTTCAGCAAAATAAAGTCTAACATAGAGGTGTGCCATATCATCTCCTTCACGATAATACCGGTATATTTTAACATTGTGATACTCGCGATATTTCAGCTTGTTGACATACTGATGTCATACTGTTACCCACAGCAACAACAAGCATGGCTGAAAGCTAAAGTATTACCGACTCTGCGGTGGTCCCTAAAAGAGGCTTCGGTAGTGTGGAATTAACTGCAGCGTCCTGAATGTTTTATGAACAGCCTCGGGCTTCTCAGACTCTTTTAGCGAGGTTAACACTCAGAGAGAACTCATTCAGCAGCTCCTCTGGCAGCAGCACAGTATCTCTCCCTCTGCCTTCTCGACAGAGAAGAGTCAGTGTCTTCAAGTGATTTTGTCATAAACCTTTGGTAATGTAAACTTGCCACTCGCGTCTCAACAAAAACTACATATATGTCAATGTGTGATAGTTATTGTTGCATAACAGCCTGTCACAGGTTGCAGTGTGATGATGAGAAATGGCAGAGAATAAAGGTCCAGGTGGGAAAAAAACCCCAACTCAATCATTTAGGATTTTGCTAAAACAGAGGGAAATCACCTGTTGATTTATATATATATATATAGATCCCAGGTTACATTTTTTGTATTTGGGAGCTGTTTAAATTTGTTTATTTTGTGTAACTATGAATATTTCATACAGAATCTGAATCTTACTCTGAGTTACTGTTATTGTTTACAAACTACAGAAATAAGATCATTTTTCTTTAGTTTTTACTGAAGATTTGAAGGCAAACTCAGGATGACATATTAAACTATATCCATAATATTTTTTTCACTTAATTGTCATATTGTCAAGATTATCGTTCTCCTAAAATACCCTGAAATATCGTGATATAATTTTAGGGCCATATTGCCCACCCGTTCTCTAAAGACTAACTGTATAGTACCAGCCCAGCACCTAATGGCAGCCAGACAAAGTTTGTGACTACCTGGTGAACACAGTGGAGCATTTAGCTGCTAAAGAGGTAAAATTCCTCAGAAGCTGGTTAAGACCAAATCAGAGCTAGACAAGAATGACTCCAAATGAATGGTAGTGTATTAAGAAATATTTTCTAACACATACTTAATAAGGTGATAATGTTAAGGTTGTGTTTACAGCTTAAATTGGCCAAAAAATTAACTACTATAGGTTTAATATTTACCCTATTAGATACACACAAACCATGAGCTTACTACTGATGATTTTTGTTGGCTTTTGTCATTATATAGTATTGAATTCTATGGATTTTTAACATGGTTCAATGCGAGGACTGAGGTGAAGCTTCATGTGGAGTGATTCCACCCAGGCGTATATGATTTCCGACACATCATCAAGGTCCGTTACACCTAAATTAACCAGAAATGGCTCGAGCTAAGTGTCCTTACTTTCAAGTTTATATCTAGTAAGTGATTGTTTTGAGAAAATAAATCGAAGCAAACAGCTTTTATTTTGTGAAACTTCACCATCAGTCTTTAGGATGTACACTCTAAAAGTAATGCGATTAAGACCATACAGCAACGAATGAATTCAGTCAGACAGAGGTCATTTATGTCTCTATGTCAGTCTCTAAGATGAGTCTGACATCTCTGAGCAGACTCATTAAACAGGCTCTATTAGATTTCACAAATCTCTCCTCTGCTCTTGGAGGAAGAGCGAGGGAGAAAAGGAGAACCACGGCAGCACTTTAAAGGAGGGATGGAGGAAGCTAACTCCTGTCAGCCTAATTAAATGGAATTTCAGCATAATAAGAAGGCCCAGATCAATAAAACAATGCCACAGATTAAATCAATTCCACAATAGAATGCCTCGTTGTATGCCCATTAGACTGTCTGTCAACTAAAGAAGCTCTCCTGCAGTATCTTAGGCTACAGTCTATTGCATTCTGTGGCTTCCCCGGGCGTCATTTAATGCAAACCGCACAGGTCAACAGTGTTAAAATTGCTTATCCCTGTTTTTCAGAGACAGCTGTTGCTTAGGTTACATCAAGGAAAGCCAATTAAATTGTTCATGGAAAGCAAACCATTACTATACATATTCTACAGCTCTTAATGAGCCTCCACGCTGAGACTTAGAGACAAACTGTGGTAACAAATCACTACAATAGAATCCCTTTCAATGTCCATGCCTCTAATGCATTAAGAGGGCAAAGAATAATGAAACCTTATCCTCAGGCATAGCCAAGGGTACCATGTGATAAACTGTGAATTTTCCCTCTGTCTCTGTGCATTTTAGAAAGAGGAAATGAGAAAGCTCCACGTCCTTCGTAGATACCGATCTGCACAAGAGCAAACGATTGCCCTGCACACCCCAACATGTAGACGTGCTTTTTTTTTTTCCTTGAATAGGATGCACTCACTGTGCAGGATAAAGAATATCTGTGGATCTATCCACAGCACAAAATGACAAATATGATATCACAGTAAAGAGCCAAAACAGATCACAAGGATATCAATTTGACAAATAACCCTATACAAACACAGAGTGGACTCGGGGTGGAAAATAGCCTCCATACATCAAATATATATTTTTTTTGGTTGCAGTAGAACACACTCTTACCGTGGAAATGTATTTCAATCTCTGACCGTTTTTCATGTCTCTTCTTCCAGGATGTGATCTCCTCCCTGCAGGACCGCCTCTCACTGCGCTACATTGAGCACTTTGCCTTGGTGCTGGAGGCAGGTGGTCTGGACCAGAATCAGAAGTTGCACCTGCTGCAGGAGAACCAGCCTCTGACACATGTAAGAAACCAAAAAACAGGGAAATGAGTGTAAGCTGTGTGTAAAAAAGCAGTTTCAATTGATGGATGTGTTTGCAGGATATATTTACACACAGCATATACTATTGGTTCAATTGTCAGGAAACTGGAAAGTCAGCAGAGAGCTCTGATACTATGAGGATCCAATCAATAACATAAAAGAAAAAATGAAAACAATTTCCAAAAGAAGGCAGATGATTCTTATCAGTGAAGCTGTATTTTTGGGATCCAAATCACATTCCTTGCAGTTTCATCTTTTTCAGCTCTGTCTTATTTTGTTCTTATATTTTGATATTCAGAAAGCAGACTAACCCGTTCACTTCTGTAAAATTACACCATGATATGTGTGACTCATGCCAAAAATGTCGCTGGCTATCTATCTGATATTGTCGTATTCCCTCAGGTGGTGCACAGAACCTATTTCCAAGGGATGAAGTGTCTGTTCCGCATCTGCTTCTTCCCCAAGGACCCTGCAGACCTGCTGAGGAGGGACCCCGCTGCATTTGAGTACCTCTATATACAGGTACTGGATTAAAGAGGGTTTAAAAGGATGTCATTCAATCTTATGACACTGTTGGAGAGCTGTCTCCTCAGAGAGCGAGGGCTTTTGCCTTCTTGGACTGATTTTACAGTTTGAAAGGTTGCATACACCAAAGTCAGGCTTTAGGCACAATGACCCTGTTGCAATGTCTCCAAAAAAGCTTTCACATTAACTGATATCCAACAGTCTTATGAATTTTGGAAGCTGTCCCTGCAATTAAACTAATGATACGACTTATAAAAGGATTGCTTGCAATGAGCTGTTTACAAAACCACATTTTAACATGTCCCAACAGAGTCGCAATGACGTCATCAAGGAGCGTTTTGGCATGGACTGGAAATCTGACATCACGTTACGATTGGCTGCGCTCCATATCTACATCACTGTGTCCTCCGCACGGCCCAATCAGAAGATCTCTCTCAAGCATGTCGAGTAAGTCCGCAAACTAAATTAGCCTTCAAATGAACTTGTGAGAAATTACACACAAGAACTGGTGTTATGCATTTTTTGCCTCATTAACAATTCTGTATACCATATCAGCCAGTCCCAGAGTGAAGTTTGTTCATTCAATAAGTCTAATTGATTAATAATTAATCCCAATAGTATTAAAAACTCAAATTACTCAAGGATCATTTTCCCGAGGTCGTTAAGAGAGAAAGAAATCCATTGCATTGTGAAATTACATCTCCCCCTCAGTTTGCTCATTTACTCTTCAAAACCTCAACCTAGCAAGAAATTAGCTTCTGCCATCACAACCGGGGAAGCAGAACAGATCCACTGCACCTGTAATAGACTCAGGGTGGCCATGTCAAGCCAGGAGTCAAAGAGGATGTAAGTTAGGCTCATCGTGTCCTCCAGTGGGACGAGAAACACTTCTGTGTCTTCTCTGTTGCGACATCTTCCCTGGACTCTGATTAAACCTTCCACTGTTGTCCTTCCCCTGTGTGTGTAATCCTCCATCATTCCCTTTGCTCTCGATCACAGAAAGGAGTGGGGACTAGAGCCCTTCCTTCCCCTCACTTTGCTTCCAACAGTCAAGGAGAAGAATGTGTGCAAGAGTCTGTCTCAGCTGCTGAAGACCTACCAGCATCCGCCACCATCGGGCAACAAGGTTTCTCCATCTCAAACAATTCAGCACTAACAGTTCATTGTAACGATTTCCATGATTAAAATATCTAGGCAGTTCTTTGTGGATGATTGTACTGCACTTTGTTATACTGCCATTATAACATATATACAGACCTCCTGCCAAATTGCCATACTCTTGAAGACTATTAACATTTAAATCTCAACAGTTTGCCGTTTCTTTAGAGGAGATTTTAATTTATTGTGTTCTATAGTAATGTCTGCTTGATAACTAGTCATTTTTATTAGGACAAGTCCTTCATCTCTATAGATGGAACTGTTGCATAAGACTTTATGATCCACATCTGTGGCTCAACAGTGCCCCCAGGAGGATGTAGGAAGAGCTGGAGAAGGACTCCTCTCTCAAAGATGAGCGTTTCTTGTTTATCATTCTGTCGACAGGTCCCTCCTCTCCAAGGGAAGCTGCAGTACATGCGTGTACTCAATGACCTCCCGCCTTTTGGTGGAATACTGTTCCACACTGTTGGACTGGTAATACATTTTTTAGTCTTTATGCATCACTTTTACTGAATTCCTCATGGATGTGTATGTGTATTTAAAGCTGTGTAGTCACACAAGGATCATGTTATTTAAATGCACTGATCTAACATGTTAAGGAATTGTCTAATTCTGGATATTTAAAGGTTTTGAGAGGTATGTGACATTCCAGTATACTATAGTAAGTAACTGTGAACCTCTTGTCTTCTTCTACAGGATGAGAAACAATCAGCTACAACACTACTGGTTGGCCCTCGACATGGCATCAGTCATGTGATTGACCTGAAAAACAACCTTACAACAGTTCTAGCCGAGTTCAGTCGGGTTGCCAAGATCCAGCTGTACCGAGAGAGCCAGGGAGTGGCTCGTGTGGAGATGACAATCCATGAGGCCAAGGTATTACAACACAGTCTCCAAGAGTAGCGCTCTGCAATTACATCTAATATGGCAAGACACCATTTTGCAGCAGGGAAAATGTGCATCTTGCATGCCATCTCTTTAACTTAACAAACAATAAAATTCATGAGTACAAAAGTGTTTACACGTTTCAAGAATTTGTTTAACAGGTCATTACAAAATGAGCAGGCAATGCTTATTGCCTGTCCTCTAAATAGTCTCCTAATTCCCCTCCCTCCCACCCCCTGCAGCCCCTGGTCCTACTCATGGAGTGGCCTGATGCCAGTAACTTTGCATGCCTCATCTCTGGCTACTACAAGCTGTTTGTAGATCCTAAACGGACCATCTACTTTCGGACCCCTGGTCAGTCTCAGCTGACCAAGGCAGGTATGTTAGAGGGCTTTTTGATCTGTTGGGGTCTAACTGGAACACATGCTCTCATTAGACATTATACATAAGATGTCAAAGATTTTACAGAAAACTCTATTGTTTACATGAAAGTTTGACGTGAAACATTCACATCATTCATTTAAAGTTGTATGAGTGTCTTACTTTCAGCATCATTTTAAACACTGCATGTAAGGCAATCTTTGGTAATCTTCATCATACGTTCTCTCTACATGGACATTGATCCGCTTCTTCATTGGCTGAATCCATTACCTGTAGTAACCAGGTTCTGACACTACCATCCCATGGCGCCCTCTGCTGTCTCTCCTCTCATCTCAATCTTAACCCATTGGAATGGGATACTTCATATTTCTTTTCCCCAAGATAAGAGTAATATGGATTATTAGTTATTTTTTAACAGCAATCATGAATATGTACTGTTCAAACATGAACAGATCCCCTCTGCCATCTGCTGTCTCAACCTGTAGTCTACATAAACGAAGGATCATCATACCATCACATTCCACCAGAATCTAACCCTCCAACCTCAAACAAACTTCAACTTTCAACATTCATCTCTGAAATAACAAATAATCCCCATGTGACCACCAGCTGTCGCCTCTGCTTTCCCATCTGGATCTTCTCTATCCCCACTAGTTTTTAACACCTCAAACTCTCCACTGCTCTGACAATTCTATCCTCAGATTACAGAAGCTCCCACCATGCTCACCCACGTTCTGGGGCAACCAGCTTGCCAAGTGGAGGCCGACGAGGGGACGAGAGGGAAAGCTCACACAGGGAGTCAGGCTCTTCAAGGGCCCTAGTTCCAGCAGAGCCTCAGCATCTGGGCCTGTGCCATGTCCACCTTCGAGAACAACAACAGTTTCAAGAGCTCCAAACACACGCCGAAGCTGAACTCGACATCAACGAAAACTTTATTTCCCATGAGCCCCCTGGGCGGCCCCGCACCAAGTCAGACCCTACACAACAGAGTACAGAGGAAATAGCTGGGGTTTTAGAGACCCCAGCAGTGGAGAATGCAGGATTCAGAATCCGAGCCCAGACAATGGGTCAGTCTCAGAAAAACTCACGGTACTTCTGTGACTCCTGCAAAGCCAGGCATAGAGCAGATGGTCTGTCAGCAGTGGGGAACAGTAGTGGGAGCTCGGGGAAACACTGCTCCAGTGCTTGTGCCTCGCGAGATGGAGGCGCTGTTGACCTCATGGCCCTGCCACCCCCAGGGAATGAAGAGGAGGATGAGGCAGATGGTGGTGGAGAGAAACTGCAACCACCACCACCTGCTATTGCTGCTCCACCACCTGGCTTTAGGGACAACAGTTCAGATGAGGATGACCCAAAGAGAGGCAGAAAGGCTCGAACAAGTGCCACCCCAGGGGTCACCTCTGGGAAGCTGGCCCAAGCCAAGGAAGACGTGCCTGTGACATTAATTGATAATGTGGCCACGAGAACAGTTCGAGATCATGCCCAGGAGCTTGATGATGCTCTGGTGTCCACCTTACAGGCACTAGAGGCTTTGGCAGCCTCTGAGGACTACCCCCATCACCCTCAACAGCCAACACAGACTGCAGGTCAACAGCCTCAGTCTTGCCACGGCCCACATCTCACACACAAAATTAACAGTAGTACTGATCCCATAAAGTTTTACTTTATCAATATTTATTAATACTACACAGTACATTGGCTATACATCAGTTTTTATTATCTTGTGAAATGACTTGACAATCCTGTAGTCTCTTCATTTTGTGGTAGGAATGCATGTGTAATAACTGCAAAAAACAACATAGACCTAAGGTAGAAAGTTCAATATAACCTCCTATAGGATGCTGAACAAAGTGACAAATAACCTAAACTAGAATAAAATTTAAGTCTAAAACTAAAATTTTATGAAAAATGGAAGCAACAGCAATAGCTGATGATTACACAATGTCATGTGTCTTTAAATGGTAAAAAGAACAAGCCCATTACATTGATTTTTTAGATTTCATGGACATATAATTGAAATGTGC